CGGAGGCGGGGGCGCCGTCGCTGCCGCCTCGGGCGCCGCGGTGCCGGGCTCGGTGCAGCTGGCGCTGAGCGTCCTGCACGCCCTGCTCTACGCCGCGCTCTTCGCCTTTGCCTACCTGCAGCTGTGGCGGCTGCTCCTGTACCGCGAGCGACGGCTGAGTTACCAGAGCCTCTGCCTCTTCCTCTGCCTCCTGTGGGCAGCGCTCAGGACCACCCTCTTCTCCGCCGCCTTCTCGCTCAGCGGCTCGCTGCCCCTGCTCCGGCCGCCTGCTCACCTGCACTTCTTCCCGCACTGGCTGCTCTACTGCTTCCCCTCCTGCCTCCAGTTCTCCACGCTCTGTCTCCTCAATCTCTACCTGGCGGAGGTAAGGCGGGAGGACCGGCGTCCGGGGGACCTGGGGAGAGGGAGGGAGCGAGGGAGGGAGAGCCCGATCCACTCCCGCCCGAGACCCCCAGCCGAGGGAGACGCGGGCGGGCAGAGTCGGACAGACTCGCCACCAGCCTGGGGAAACTGAGTCACTCCCGAGACGCACCCGTGGGTTCGCTCTAAACTTAAGCAGCTGATGGACCCGATGATGGAAAGGTGGGAGGTGGGAGTGAGAGAGTCGGTGTTGTGCCCCGGCCACTTAACAGCGCCGGGACAAGCCTTTGTCCCGTGTGTTTTGATCCTCTGAGGTGAGGCTTCGGCGGTCACGATCAAGTGGCATCGCTAGAAGTAACCTCCCCGGTAGCTTGGCCACAGCCGGACTGTGTGGAGGGAGGTTGGATGCTGAGGTAGCAGCAGCTCTGCTGGAAGCTGGACCGCTGCCAGCCATTACGTCACCAGGCAGAGCTGTTCCTCCGCTATTGTTGCTGCGTTTCTTTTATTAGAAGCTTCTATTCCCTCCTGCATCTCCTTTCCTGTGGCTCGAGAAGCCTCACACAAATTCCCTTCCATCGTTCCCCAGCAGAGTTAATGGTCGATAACCAATGGTACAGGTCACCAGGAGGACCTCCGTCAAGCCCTTAAATGTTTGTCCCAATTGCTTCCCGCTTTAGGTGATTTGTCCTACCCTCATATACATAATATATATATATATATATATCAAAGTCCTTTAAAAAAAACTAAGAGAGAATACAGTAGCCTGCCCCGTGTCTATTGCATAAACAAAACCATCAAACTATTTTTGCAATAACTCGCTTACTAGCTGCAATCGAATCACACCGCCTTTCTCTTTTATGGGGAATTGCCCATTGGGTTGCATTGTTCTGCAGCGCTTAGGTATTTGACCCATTTCAAACAGGTTTTGAAGTGTAACGTTGTCAATCGTGTGTCAGCTAGTGGTATGTAAGCCACAGTATTTTGAGAAATGCCCCCCACCTTGCCCCAAAAGTCTCCCTTTCCCTCAAAAGAAAAGCTTGAGGAGAGAAGGAAACAAAGTGACATCATATGCTTAATACTGACTAATATAGAACAATATTGGTCTCTGCAGCTAATCCTCTCAAAGCCTTTTGGAGGTGATGAAAATTAACATAGTTCCAAGTAAAAGCAAAAAAAATCACTTGCGACAGATAAGTGTTTATATTTCTTGTATAAACAAGCCCCTTTTTCCCGTAAAAATAGGAAAACAAATGCATCATTTAAAATGAGTCGTAACTTCAGCTAGTTAGCACACTAAAAACAACAGTTAAGTAACAAAACAAACTGAGCTTTCATTCTTTTTTGGCCTGCATCCTTCCGAAATCCAAGCATTATGGTGACAAAAATCCATTAAGTGAGAATCAGAAATAAATATATAAATAAATAATGAGTACCAAGTAATCATGCCATAGTTATGTCACCTACTTGAGGATGTATTCATCACATTTTTTTTCTTTTGAGACAGGATATTGCCATGTAGACTAGTCTAGCCTCAAAATTTACAATCCTCCTGCTTCAGCCTCTCAAGTGTTGGAATTACAGGTATACACCACCCAACCAGAGCATATAACACTTCCCTATAGTTAAACTGATAAATTGAGACTTTACCACCATTTCTGATTAGTAACTTCTCATCACTGAAACCTTACTCTAGCTTCACATACAGTTAATTTGCCTGAAGTTGTCTAGCAATTTATTTGCTATGTGCATCAACTGTTTTGCCTTTCCCTTTTAACTTATAAAATCATACTAAAAATTCACTGGAAAATGGTTTGCATTTCAGAAAGCACTTAAATATATAATCATAAAGTATATAATCTTAAACATAAAGCTAGATAAAAGATCATCTTCATACAAAAATACATTATCATTAACCCAAATAAGGAATGAGTTCCTGGTATCCCAGAGGGTCCCATGTTTACCCTCTACCAGCCAGTACTCCACTCAAAAATAAAGTGGTTAAATATTATCACTAGGAAAAAACACCTATAGTCTTAAAGTTCTAAATATGTACTTTTACAACATAAAACACACAAAGTGTCCAATTTGAGTTTTCATGTTTTTTTGTGGATGTATACCAGAACTGGAGCTTGGACTGTAGATCTCTCTCACTTTGCATTTTTGTTCATGTCTGACAGACTGGCTCTCAACCACCATGCCTCCACTTCTGAGTTTTTGCTGATTGAGATCAGAGTCTCATGGTTTTGTCCATTTGGGATGGCTTCAACCCTGGACTCTCAGATTTTAACCTCCTGAGTAGATAGGATTATAGGTGTTAGCCACTAGTGCCTGGCATTTTTCATACCTTTGATTGCTAATATTCCAAACTAGTAAGAAAAAATTTAAAGTCTAGAAGTCTTGATTTTGTGTTATGTTTTTATAGAAAAGCACTAAAACTCTTAATACCCTAGAAAACATAAGAAGGTGGGCTAAAGTTTTTTTTCTCTTTTGTAGTATCTCCTAAAAAGTGTGTGGGTTGTCTGTTTTTTAATAATCAAGCCAACAATTTAAGGACATCAATACTTAAGGAAACTAAATTTTTAACTTTTTGAAACCCTGCTTAGAGACATCTAAATCCGAAACAGTTTCCAAACTTATTAGAGAAAATGTACAAAAGCTTGTATTTAGGAGTATTTGAATATTTAAATTCAGTTTCTTATATTGATTCCAGGTGACATATATACTTTCCACTCATCATTATGAATTTAAATTGTTCCTGAAGTATATTGTAGAGAAGTCTGTTGACAAATATAAGACTGATATTTAATGTTTTAACCAAAAGTTTTGTCTTTACACATGTCATAATAAATACCAATTATATTTTGCTTTTGGCTTAAAGCATTTATTGTACCTACTTCTCATTAATTAAAAGCATCTAACTTTGAGAACTTAGCTGTAAAGAAATATGGATCAGAATACAAGTATGGGAAAGCAGCCATTACTTTAAATACATTTTGGTGGGTCTCCCAAAATTTAAGACTGCCCAAACTAAAACGACTTTTTGTTTTGATGACCATACATTTGAGTAGAACAGAGATAATGAGAAGTAGCCCTTTCTGAAACAAGTTTTTCAACTTATGCTTAACCTCCTGATAGCAGATTGTTGAAAGGGGAAAAAAGTGTACTAATATAAAAAACATGCATTGAAGATTTTCTGGCAGAGTCAATGAACTTCACCAGACAACTCTTCACACTTTCTATACTATAATGAGAAAACGTGAGTCTTTAAAACAGATTATCTGAGCAGGGTACTAATGGCTTGTTCCCGTAATCCTACCTACATAGGAGGCTGAGACCTGAAGGTTTAAGCTTTGCATCCAACCTTTGCAGACAAGTCCTTCAAACTTCATCTGCTATTACCACCAAAAAGAAAGAGCTAGGCTGGAGGTGTGGCTCAAGTGGTAGAGTACCAGCCATGAGCAGGAAAGCCAAGTAAGATTTGGAGACCCTGAATTCAAACCTAAAAGGAGTAGGGAACATATCTGAAGAAACTTATACTATTTACCTTTTAAGAACTTAAAGTGAAAGTATACTATCTTTGGAGCATTGTGATGCATGCCATAATCAATTAATTCATCTTTGAGGCCATATTGAATTTTTCTTTCAGTTTGTAACATGAATGCCAATTTCTTGAACAGAATAAAATACAGTTATTTGATCACAATTCTAAAACAACTAGGAAAATTAAATTTAAAGTCTTAACTCTTGAGAACTGTTTTTGTGCCTGTCAATAGTTACATACTTCCAAATGTTGATGGCACTTTAACTCTCAACTTACAGGTATGCTGATTTTATTATATATTTATTATTTTATTATTTATTATTTTGTTATTTTCCTACAAAAGTATTTCACTCTATAAATTCAAAATTCCTTGAGAATAAGAATAAGAAGATATAAATATGAATATATACATGATGTATATATCATGTATCTTATGTATACATATGTTATGTATATCACACACATTATATGTATACAATAAAACATATACATATATCACTGTGTCATATCACAAGTAGAAAACAAATCATTTTAAAATCAGTCATAAATTCAACTAGTTAGCACACTAAAAACAACAGTTACATATGTATTGGTGATATTGAGGTTGAAAGTCAAGGCTGTCCATTTTCTCAGTTTGTTTGCTCAGCTTATTTATCATATTTGTATTCCATAGATACGAGACCAATGGTAAAAAAAATCAAAATCCAGAAAGCATTGAGACAAATTATATAAGTACTGTCTAGAATCTATAATTTGTGCTTGTAACATTCCATGTGTTATAAATGCTAAAATTTTCTTAGCTTATATTGGTTTAAATAAAGAGTTAATTTTTTACCACTGGTAAAATCTCACTAATAGAACTACCTTAAAATAAGAGTTTTTCATATCCTGGCAAATGACCCATAATCATTAGGGTTTTAGTGATTTAGTCTTAACAAATTCCAAACAGAAAAATCTATGGGGCAAGTCTTGTATCATGAGTCCATTACTATTTTCTGGAAATGGTTTAGTTTGTGAGTGGCTTTTAGCCATAACTGTGATTATAAACGGTTCTTGTCTGTCTCTACTAAACAGCATTTTAACCACTAACTTGATCCAATTTTCCCTAAGATTGTGAAGCCAGAGTTTCAGATACATACATACCTATCACAGAAGACTTGATTGTAATCCCTCACATTTGTGTATTTAATATTTCCAAAGAAAATTCTTCAACATTTATCTTCATAACCTCCACAGAAAATGAAAAGGGGTGTGATTTTCCTACCCATTATATGGCTGTGAGACTATTATAGCTCAGACATAGTTCTAAAGATACATATAGCTCATTAACTTTATGAAGTCTTGTCAAGTAAATCCTCCTATGTCCTATATGTTCCTGTATATCATTACTTGCTTATTCAATGCTTCTCTCTTAACAGTTTCACACTTTTTCCATTTTCTCAATAGACTTCTTCCCCTTTCAT